CCCATCGCATAATGTGGGGGAGAGGAGATCAGCCCTCCGTTCGCTGTTCCACAACCACTGATCGTTGATCCGACATGGCATCGCCCCATCATTCCGTCTTTGCAATCAAACTTTTTCAAAAACGGAAAACAAAAATAAAAAGCAAAAAAAAAAAAAAAACAACAACAGCAAATCCCCATCGCACTTTGTGGGGGAGAGGAGATCAGCCCTCCGTTCGCTGTTCCACAACCACTGATTGTTGATCCGACATGGCATCGCCCCATCATTCCGTCTTTGAAATCAAACTTTTCCGAAAACGAAAACAAAAAAAGAAAGCAAAAAAAAAAAAAAAAAAACAGCAAATCCCCATTGCATAATGTGGGGGAGAGGAGATCCGCCCTTCATTCGCTGTTCCTACATGGCATCGCCCCATCATTCCCTCTTTGAAATCAAACTTTTCCGAAAACAAAAACAAAAAAAAAAGCAAAAAAAAAAAAAGAAAAACAGCAAATCCCCATCGCACTTTGTGGGGGAGAGGAGATCGGCCCTTCGTTCGCTGTTCCACAACCACTGATCTTTGATCCTACATGGCATCGCCCCATCATTCCCTCTTTGGAATCGCACTATTTCGAAAACGGAAACAAAAAAAAAAACAAGAAAAAAAAAAAGAGAAACAGCAAATCCCCATCGCACTTTGTGGGGGAATGGAGATCAGCCTTCGTTCGCTGTTCCACAACAAACTGATCGCTGATCGTACATGGCTTCGCCCCATCATTCGCTCTTTGAAATCAAACTTTTTCGAAAAAGAAAAMAAAAAAAAAAAGCAAAAAAAAAAGAAGAAAAACAGCAAATCCCCATCGCACTTTGAGGGGGAATGGAGATTAGCCTTCGTTCGCTGCTCCACAACAAACTGATCGCTGTTCCTACATGGCATCGCCCCATCATTCCCTCTTTGAAATCAAACTTTTTCGAAAACGAAATAAAAAAAAAGAAAAGAAAAGAAAAAGAAAAAAAACAGCAAATCCCCATCGCACTTTGTGGGGGAGAGGAGATCAGCCCTTCGTTGGCTATTCCACAACCACTGATCTTCGATCCTACATGGCATCGCCCCATCATTCCCTCTTTGAAATCGAACTTTTTCGAAAA